CTGCTGCTGCTGCATTTTACGTGTCAGTTGTTTTATCCAAGTCATTTTTTGGTAGTGATTACCATTAGTAAAACCATGCTTCATGGATGCTGCAGTTTCTGATGGCTGAAATAAGTAAAATGTGAATAATTTACACCAGCTTGACTAGAAAGCAGGTGATGGCACAGTTTGATACAGCGGTGCATAAGTAAACTTGTGATGCAACCCAGTGTTCTTACACAATGTTTTCTAACTTTTTGGAGAGATATGTAAACGTTAACTGAGCTGCTTTTGTACCAGGTTGATAAAAGTGATGGTGGAACAGGTGATCAAAGGGGTGAGCAAGAAGGACACAACAGAGGAAGTGCTGAAGCTGAGAAGACAGAGGAAACAGTTGGCATTCCAGGGACAAGCGACCAAAGGGAGGGAGACAGAGGACAGGGAAAGACAGCACAAGAAATGCAGGTGACCAAGTAACAGACCTAAAATAAATTGTGAATGAAGTCTTGCCAGTGCTTTAAAACAGATTAAATGAACTGGTTAAATACACAGCTGTAACTCTTGTTGTTTTTAGGTAACTTTAATATGATTTCAGTTTACACAGTGAACATTTAAGCATAATTGCTGAAGATGACATGCAGGGTTTNAAGTCATCTGCATATCCTTGTGTGAAGTCTAGATCTATTCAACTCAGTTAGTGGGCTGTCGACAACTTGCTTGCTCCTAACCCAGACACCCCCACACCAACTACACTCCAAAGCTGTGGTGTACATTTTGCAAAGAACATGACAGTCTTTTCAGAGCAACAATACAAAATTGTAAAGTATCTGTACAGTATTTGAGTCAAGCATTACTCATCTAGCAAAGTTTTCTGTACTTTTGTTTTAAATGTATGAATCATTTTGGTTTGTTTTGACCAGGAGCACAAAAGTTATTCTGTGCCACAGTTTTAGAAAATGTACATAATTTACACATACTCCACAGGTAGGACACATATTTACACCTGGGGAAACACATTTACATGTACGATGGGAACTTATTTACAACTATTTGAATAACTCTAGTTTTGTTCTTATGAGAATAGAATAAAAATGGACATACAGAAGGGAGTGGATCATTTTTTTTCCCTTTTATCCTGTTCGAAGCTAACAGAAACACAAYGGTACCCAAAATAACCTATACTGGTTTGCAAGTGTTGGAATTATTGACTGCTGTGGATGACTGTGAGTCCGATGGAGGAGAGGAACTAACTCTTGATTAAGTAGATGATTCAGACACTGAGGTGAACTTTAAACAGGTGAGGACTTCAGTGGTAAATCTGATGAAGAGCAGTGTGGCCCTCCCAGGAAAAAAAAGTGTGAAATCAGAGAACAACACACCTGCACCAAGCATGAAAGAAAAGGATTAGGCAGTTTGGAAGAGTGTAATGTTGCATTTCATGAGAGATTAGGACCTACAGAGCATGCCATGGTAATGTTACTCTGTCTTTTTGTGTCATGCATATTTATTTATTTGTTTGTTTGTTTGTTTATTTACTTATTTATTTATTTATATTTATGATTTTATAGTTTCCTTTTTTCCAATGTGTATACTGCTTTTCAAAGAAAAAAAAWWTTTTTTGGAGAATTACTCCCTTTTTGTCACATGCATAAAAATTAAAGCAAAGGGCAGTAAAACAAAAGTTAAATGTAGCTAACATTTTTTTCTTTCTTCTCTTTCGTGCAGTGGTAAATAACCAGCAGACTCCACAACTTTGTGTTTGTTCAACATGGAGATGCTCCTGATTGTTWCAAACTGCACCATCCAAACAAAGCCTGAAACAAATGACAGCTGAAGGCCTTCATRGTAGTTCTGTTTATAAGCAACTCTTTGCCCAGTGGTGTGATGATCAAATCTTGGTCTAAAAATGATGCTGTGCCTGCAGTCAATGAGACGATGTCCTGTGACCGCAGCAAAGAAATCATGCGGTGTTTGTGGTTTGACAACAAGGACACCCATGCTGATCGTGTGAGGACCAACGGATTTGCTGCAGTTTTGGACACGACGTTTCGTACACAACTTCCATCAGAGCTACGTACCAGGAGGACAACACATGGCTGTTGACGAGCAGCTGTTTCCATACAAGGCCAGCTGTCCTTTCACCGTAGATCTCAACTAAGCAAGATAAATTTGGAATAAAGTTCTGGATTGCTGCAGACTTGGAGACTTATATTCAACATTTAGGAAAGGACGTCCATTATCCTAAGGGAGAAAGGATGTCTGAGAATGTCGTCATGAAGCTCATGGAGCTGCTTCTGTGCAAAGGAAGTATTGTCACCATGGATAACTTCTTCACATCTATAGCACTATAGATGTGTGCACCAGTCTGGCTTCCATAGATCACACTCTACAGAAACTGTTCTACTTCATGTAACAAATGATCTGCAAATGTCTGCTGACAGAGGAATGTACTCTGTTCTGCTTTTATTGGACCTATCCTCAGCGTTTGACACTGTGGATCACACCATCCTACTTCATAACCTGAGAAATATAGGGATATCAGGAACTGTCCTAGACTGGTTCAACTCTTACCTCCACACAGGTTAATAAATCAGGCAGTATCACACTCACTCCTAACAAGAAGTCGGTCTGTGTTCTCAGCACCATGTACCAAGTGCCACTTGCCAAAGAGCACAAACAGAAACCAAACACTATTACAGAGTATAACTCCWTGAAAGTATGTACATGAATAATGTTGCTGCACTGGCTTCATGTACTTATAGTATACATGTCACACTGTTTTTCCACAATGTAACATTTACTTTAAAAACTTTTTTTTGCAGTGTGGTGTTGACTTAATGGACTAGATGGTGCGTGTGTATACAGTGTGTGCTTGCATACGCAAGCCTACATGTCAAGTTGTGCAGATTGTCCATAATTTACACAGGTTTTCCCTCATTTTGCAGGAGTATAGGGCAATCACAGAGATTTTTTCAAGTTTTACAGATTTTTTCRAAAGACTCAGTTTCAAATTTATTTAATATGCAGAGCCTGTAGGATGTTAAAAGCAATAAACAACATCAAATAACAATCTTCCAACCCGCTCTGCCGCTAGAAATGTTCTTCCCTCATTTCCTCCTGCTTTGTGCTGCAGAYGCTGTCATATCTGCGGCAGCCAGTCCACCTGGTCTGGGACCACCTTGGGATCCCTCAGGAGGAGCAGGAGTGTTTTGCTGGGGATAAAGATGTCTGGGTTTCTCTCCTGAACTTGTTGCTTCTGCAACTTGACTATGACTCAGCAGTCGAAAATGGAAATATACATGATGATGATTCCATAGTTTATTGTGGTTTTGAGGGTTTTCCCTTGATATTGTTCCTGTTTGTTGTTGGGTTTTGATGGTTTGATTTTGCTCTCGGTTTTTAACCRACATTCATTTTCCTTCTAGTTCCTGGTTCCAGCTCATTGCACACCACCATGCTCTGGTTAGCAATCAACACACCTGTTCCCAATCGCTATCTGCCCTTTAAATAATATATATTTCCTTTTTTTATTTTCCCTGTGCCAGTTGTCAGATGTTCTGTTAATCCTTGTTTAAGTTTTGTTCTGCTGGGATTCCAACATGTTGAACTTTTAATTTTATTAATTCATCCTTCCTCCTGCTAGCCTGCATGTTGGTCCTCATATCTTCTTTTTAAAGTAAAATAAGAGAAACAACTCATTCTTTGCAGCTGTGGCACCTATAGAGAACACATACTCGGTGTAAACTATTGCTTTTCGGTACCTTTCCTGATGCAGACCTCCGCACTCCTGTTTTGTCATGCCTTCCTTCTACCTGAGTCTATTCTTCTGTCGCCTCACTTTTAAACTTAGTTTATTGTCGGCGAGCTTGGCTGGGCTTGTCATTTACAGAAAAACGATGAGGTTAAATCTCTACACAGAAAATAAATGTCCCCCAAATTTAAATCACTAGAAAAGCCAATATTTGACTTAACCAGCGTGAAACTTTAAGTGCTCTAAAGTGGTTCATGATCCAAACCTTTAGWAGCCCATTATGTCACTTTATTTTAGTGGATCCTTTTAGTAATATTGTCCCCCAAAGCCCCTCTTGAAAAGCCATCCCCAACGTAACCGACTTTTTCTTTTGTGTTTTCCTAGAGCAGGCTTATTTTGAAGTCATTGCTTGTGTGAATTGGTAATAATCTCATTTCCTTAACTGTGAGGGAGAGATAAATGGGAAAACCATGAGAAATCAATGGAGAGAGATTAAGGAAGACCCAGGGGTTCCCGGCGTCTCTGTTCACAACAAACAGATGCTTCYTCTTAGCTCCCTGAGGCCAGGAGGTGGGAAAGACCTCTAAGCAGCGCCTTCCTTCATAGCACAGTGACTGTGCGCAAAATAATCACTGGCTAGCCTTTCTCTGTTGATAATATTTCACATCTGCACATAGCTGCAGTCGAAGAGCAAAATACAAGTGATATTTTTGCCTCTCCGTGTGTGTTCCTTAGCAGAAATGTTAGCAAAATATTTTGTGAACCACAGAATGCATTTGCAGTGAAAGTTTCAGGAACTAATAATTGATTATTATCTACTGAATAACTTTTAGAGGCAACACTATTCAAAATGGSCGCCACAGCTAATCAGCCATAGCTGAGACAAAAAGATGGCTATAAATGAGTCATTTTATTAAATATTGAGCTAAAATATTATAGGGAAGTAGCTAAAAGTTGAGATTGCTACTTTTAGAGTGAACTTTGTGCTTCAGTATGAACCACGGAACGGATTTTAATGAAACGCCTGTGAAATAACCATTGGGTGTAGATCTACAGCAGATTAACTTTGAGTCAGTCCAGTGGGGACCTTCACTCAGGCTATTTTTAGAACACCAGTCATGTGACTATGTCCGCTCGACACTGATGCTCCTACAAACTCTCGTAGCCGTTCCATTGATTTCAATGGAACTGCGCCGGTTCAGCTGTTTTTGAACTTACATAAATTTGGGAAAACAGCATCAAACTTCACTGAGAACCACAAAGCACTGTGTTACGATTCCTTTTACAGTGAATCAGGATACAACCATTATCCCAACATGAGAGGAGTATTTTTGAACACTTTTCCCAAGCTAAGATGTTAGGCTAACTGCTGGGTTTGAGAGAAGGGATTGACCATATATACTGAATTTGGTCAAATCTCAAAAATAATGTCAAGCATAATCTGTAATCAATCAGAGTATGTGTTGTAAATGATTTTTAGCTACAACCAAAAACAATGTTTACTGTACCTGTTTATCGACAGAAAGTGCAGGGATAGGATCCGGGTGGTCCAGTATTGGTATTTTACCTCCAATAAAATACTTGGAGTAGACATTAAGTATATATA